ATTACAAAAGCATGAAAATCGGATACACCAAATTCATTAAAGACCACAGAATATATACACAAATTAAAAACCAGACACTACAAAGCATAAGAAAGTAAAACTTTTAGTTTATTTACATGGAAACTTGGAAACGTCAACTTTTTTGGCGGCTGTAGGGATGGGCAACAATAACTGGTTAATTTAATAACTGGTTTTTCAAAAATTAGTTAACCGGTTATTTCATATCGTAAGGATAAACGGTCATCGGTTAAAAAGTGCAATAACAGGAAAGAATCTTTTTCTTTTTCTATCTACACAAGTCTCAGTGAATATGGAGGTAGTGAATATTACAGCTGTCTTGCATTTGTTGTCCTTAACCACTTCTCCTGCCCTGCGACATAACCCTTTGGGTAAGCTCAAGTTTTAATGGATGGAAACCTCACATTTCCCGCATCTACTTATTATAATATTATAACTAAGCCGTAAGTCTATTCATAAATGCCGCTCTCTGCACATGGCGCTTGGCTAGCCAGGGTGTAAACATGGCCAATGACACTTTAAATTGTTGATGGACAAAATTAAAGGTTATTGTCCGATTAACCGTAGAACCAGTGGACTTTGATTCTGTTAACCGGTGCCCGTTAATGTTATCGATGAAATAGTCGGTTAACCTACAACCGGTTTTTTTTACAAAAACCGCCCATCCTAAACGGTTGTTATTACTTAGGGCAAGTCTACTCAGCGAAAGATTGTCATGCTTCTAAATTGCGCTCTGATAAGGGTGCTACAATATTTTGGTTATTCAAGCAATGTAATCCATTCATTCATTCATATTGATATGAAAAAAGCGTGTTAATTAAGCTGCCTTAATGCGCCAAATATAAAATCAAGTCGCATTTCCAATTTGCTTTGCTATGAGGCGATCCGTGTAAGAGGTACCTAAGTATCGGTTGGCGGTAGAGCCGCGACGCGGCGACGCCCCCAAAGTCTAATCAGCTGATTGTCTAGGTTGATGATACTTGACAAAAATAACCGTTTTAAATCCACATTATTTGGTGAAGTAGTTAGTTGTTGAAGTAATTCTATGCGCTACATAATTATAATTATGAAGAAAATTAACGATGATTAACGAATTTTGATCTGCATTATGCCGAAGAAGAAAATACTACTCGTTGCATCCGTTGCAGGACAAAACTCAATGTGGTCATCTCCCTCGCTGGAGGACCCGCTTAAACTACCAGAAGGGGATGACAACAATCTCATATCGCTGTTCAACAACAATGATAGTCGCGCTAAAGACCTGGGTTTCCACTCCAGTGATAGTGAATTTATTTCTTTGGACAGGCTGGAAGATAGGAATAGGGGTGCGATGGTGAGTACAGTTTTCATTTAAAAGGAACAAAAATATTGAAAGCGGGTCGTTTATGAGATTTGTAACTGTCTGCTATTTCTTTCAGACCCTGTATAATCCAGGAACATCACAACAAAATGCCTTAGAAAGTCTGACTGGCCTACCAATGCAAGCCTTAGCTCAACAGGTGTCAAGGCTACAACCATCAGGAAGCAATGGCATGCATCAACAAAATGTGCTGATCAACATTCAGCAATTCCCATCTGGACCACCTCAACCACAGTATCAGCCACCACCAATGTATCCACCACCACATCATTATCCTCCTCAGCCCATGCATCAACCATACCAATACCAGTAAGTACAGAAACATTTTAACAAGATTATTAGGACAAAAATGTCTTGTGAGTTTTGAGAATTTCTTTAGTGGTGGCATAGAGCTACAGGCAAAATAGCAAAAAAAGTGACACTTTGGTTTTTCACATTTAAAAGACGTTATATTCAGACATTTTTTGGGGTACTGTTGCGTCTTGTAGAACTTCGGATTTCACTGTTTTTTCACTTGAAACTTCTAGAGGGTAGTCTGATGGATTATTTTAAATAAAAAAGTGTGGATGAGGCACACTTTTCATGAATTTTTTCCAAAAGACGTATTTTTACCAGTTATCTCTACCATTATTTACACCACCATCTGCCATATGACGACGTTGATGTCTGTGCATATGTCATATATGAGAGGCACTCCGTATTTAGGGAAGATGAAAAGTGGAAAATCTATATATGTACATTTATATTAATCAATGAAACACAAAAAGGAAAAACTGAAACAAACAACAATAGCAAAATAAAAAGCAGTTCTTAATAAGTATAAAACAAAAAATAACAGTAGTAAGCTAACACACAATAAATTGTAAATAATTATAAAAATAAAAACTGTGGTAAAGCAAATAAAAAACAATACCATGTAATTATAAAAAACAAAAAATAAACAGTAAAACAGAAAAGCTATTCTAAGTGATAAATTAGGAAAAGATGAATATTGAACGATTTGATGTTTTTAGAAAAATCCCAGAGTCTGTTTTGTGACATTTCCAATTCAGTGATCACTATAGGCGGTATAGTCAAGAAAGGGTGTCATAGGTACATTTTTCAGTATATACAATTTCAAATATATATATTATGTTATGTACTGGGTCAGTGTACTTGATACCATTTTATTAATATGGCATTTATTTTCAGGCCTCCAAATCCGATGTACTATCCTCCAGCACCCCATGGTTATCCACCACATCCTCAACCACCTCCTCCACATATGGGACCCCCGCCACCCCCACAGCAGATGCAACATCAGCAGCCGCCCCCAATGGGAGGTCAACAGCCTCCTCATCAACAACATCAACCGCAACAGCCTATGCCACTACCAGGTAATATGTTGTTATTATTACCATTATATTAATTAAAACATCCATAAATGACTTTCTTTGGTAACATGAAACCCGTTGCTTATCCATTCTAAGACAGAACCAATATGACATCTTACCACAAAGTACAAGCTACAACTACATACAGAGTTTAAGCTGTACCCTACCAGTCTCACTTGTCTGCTTTCCTGCAATTGCCACTGTCAGATTGCAATTCCTTATATCCAATTGCGATTTTTTATGTCAGATTGCAAAAGTACTTACAGTAACTGTGTGTAGTTGCCTACTTTGAGTCTGCAATACTGCTGTTTAAAAAAATGTACATTGAGTATCATACGAGCGTGCAATGCACAAACTATACTAGTAATATTCTGGTTGGAATATACAGGGTGACAGGTAAATAGGTGTAAAACATTTGTTTTTTGTGGTTTTGGGTTATTATTTCAATAATTAACTATTATAAATTAAAAAAGATTCGAAAACAATACCAAACAACGTATTTATTTTCATTCAAAAATGTTTAACTAAGAAAAACAAATAACGTTTTACAGTAAGTAAGGTGCTTTACAAAAAAACGTACAAACAATTTAAATAATATCCTTGTTTCATAAGGAATCTAAATTGGTATGATAAGTGCACAAAAACTGTGTGAAACTAAACATAATGTATTGTAATACAACAATAGGGAGTAAATTTACCAATGGCTTGTCTCCTATTTCACAACTCTCTGATTGATAAGAAAGTGTTTTTGTGAAAATAATGTAACTGTAAGCTATGGGATAGTTATTATTTTAAACTACGGTTAAGTTACACGATTAGATTATTTACACAGTTGTAATTGTACTACAGAATAATAAAAACTGACTAAAAGTTACTACAATTGGTAAGTAAAATACAATAATGAAATGAAGGTAAAATTAATTGCAATTGTTGTTCGAACTGACGCCCGCCGTTTGTTCTGCAAGCTTGTAGTCTTTTTCTCATGTTGGTACGCGTGATGCGGCCAGTTAGTTGTCCTCTGATAGTGTCAGCAGCAGCAATAATTCTTTCTTTCAGCTGTGCAAGAGTGTCTATGGGCTCAGCGTACACCAGTGACTTCATGTGCCCCCATAAATAATAGTCACACGGTGTTAAATCTGGGCTCCTCGCTGGCTACGGTGTCGGTCCACCTCGACCAATCCAGCGACAAGGATATTTCTCGTCCAGCCACTGTCTAACACCCAGACGGAAATGCGCGGGACAGCCATCGTGTTGGTAGATCATCTGCATCCTGATATTCAGAGGCAGGACTTCGAGATACTCCCAGAGTTCGGATCTCAAAAAGCTTTCATAGGATCCGCCATTCAGGTTGTCAGGCAAAAAAACTGGTCCAATTAGATACGTATGAATGATTCCCATCCACACGTTTGCCGAAAATCTTCTTTGATGGGCTCTTGGCTTTGCCATGTGGGGATTTGCCTCTCGTGGGGCCCAATAATGTAAGTTGTGATAATTTGTTGTCCCCTCTCTGTCAAACTTAGACTCGTCGGTCCACAATATTTTAGTTAAATACTCGTTTTCTTCTTGATCCCGATGAAGCATGTATCGACAAAAATTAATTCTTGCGGGATCTCCTTCTAATACTTGAACCGGTGTGTAATGGAAAGGGTAAAGTCTCGCCGAGTGCAAAACGAACCAAACTTTCCACTGAGTTAAACCAACCTGCTTTGCTATAACTCGTGTAGACGTCGTCGGGTCTCTGCCGTAGCATTCCAGTACTGCCTCTCGATCTTCGTCGTCAAACAACCGAGGTCTACCAGCATGATGACGTCTCTCATGAACCTGTCCACTTTCCTTGACGCGTTGGTACACAGAAGCAAATACTCGATGACTCGGTATTCGCCGATTCGGAAAACGGTTTTCGTATTCTCGCCTGGCTTCAACAGAATTTCCAACACTTAAACCATAACAAAACAGAATATCAGCGTATTCTTCGTTACGGTAACTCGCCATTATTAAAACTGATCAAAAAAGTAAAAGTACGTCCTACCGCGTTAAAGGTTGATATTCTACTAACTAACCTAAGCCTTAGTTCCCTTTCCTTGATCCGTCAGCTGTGTCAATTCATAACTCACGCAGAGCTTGCTTCCGAATACTTAAACCCGAATAACGGCACAGGGCACAAAAAATAACAAAAAGGGGTGGAACCATGAAAGGGTCGGTTTACCGGCTCAGTACAATGAAATGCGCTTAGCCGTCCTTTCTAGCAAAGTAATATTGTTTTGTTAAATGGTTTACTTACTGATATGTTATTATACCATTTTAGAAACCTAATGAAACGAGAAAGTTTTTGCAGTTATTTGTACATTTTCTTTATTATGATTTTTTTGAAAAAAAAAAATACTTCTTAGGTGAAAGTTGAAAATAAAAATTTTCATCTAACATTTAAATGAAAATAAATTCGTTTTCAGTAGTGTTTTCATATGTTTTTTAATTTATGAGAATTATTTATTTAAATAATAACCTGAAACCACAAAAAAAAGAATGTTTAATCACCAATTTTTTTTATCTCAACTATTTTACTCTGTAATCTGGGTTGTTTTTTTAAAGAAAATTAAATCTTCCATAACTTTTTAACCTTTGAATATAGGGTATGGTATTATATACTAATTTTGATAGCAAAGGAGCTGTACTATCACCTCCTAAAATGTTTTACACCTATTTACCTGTCACCCTGTATAGGCAAATACCAGCAAAACGATCGTTGTCGTTTCTCCGTAGATGACCCTCACGATGTGTGGGCTATCTGAATTTTGGAACCACTATTGTCAGATTGCGATTTAAGCTTTTGTATGACGATAATTGACTATCAATTTGACTGGCCATTTGTTTACAGCCCCTCCAGTTTCTCAACACCAGCAGACTCAGCAACAAGGGCCACAACAGCAGTACAGACCTCCACAACCTCAGGCCGCCGGACCTGGGATGGGTGGTCCCAGGCCGCAGGGACAACAGCCGGGACAGCCTAGGCCGCCGCAAATGGGACAGAGGATGCCCAACGCCAGGCCCATGGGTGAGATACTTTTATTCATTATTGCATATTGAATTAACTTTGTCGGAGAACTTTAGGATTTTGGTGGGCCACTGTAAACTACCCTATCACAATCATCAGAACACCACTAATACCGGGTCAATCGACTTGCAAGTGACAGCGCTAGAGTGCGAACTGAAGAGGTGGGAAGTTACAAATGCAATCAGCCTCTGTGTATGAACATGTTTGTAAACCCACAGGCATACGTTTTACGTTTTTTAGTTCGGCCTCGCCAACTTGAACATCGTCTCGTAAACGTATGAGTGTTCCACGTGTATGCTTCTCTCTCCCAGTTCAACACATGAGCTTGCAGTTTGAGCGTACCCTTTGCTGATCTCCGATATACAGTAATGGACAAAAAGTATATAGACAAATTAATATTGTGCTGTATTTCTTTTTTAACTGTTTTTATTAATACACCAACCTGTATACATAATTCGTTATAGCATAATACTCACTTATACATAAATAAATTCATTAGTCTAATAGAATAGAATAATTTTTATCTCGTATTTGCTTATCTAAGTATTCCCATAGATTTTCAATGGGGAGACTGTGATGGCCATTTGAGAACTGGTATTTTTTCATCCAGAAAGAATTTCTTTGCGAGATTTGAAGTGTGCTTCGTGTCATTATCTTGCTGGAAGATTGATCTTAAGGGCATATTGCCTTCCATATAGGGTAACATGACATGCTTTAGTATGTCTGTGTATACAAACTTATCCATAATGCCTTCTATTCTATGTAAAGGTCCCATCCCAAACCCCGAAAAGCACCCCCAAACCATAACAGACCCGCCTGCATGTTTGACAGTGGGCAAAGTGTACTTGGGGTTCAATCTTTGTCCACTAGGACGTCTCACGTAATGAACACTATCTGATCCAAACATATTGAACTTGGATTCTCCACTGAAACATGCCCTTTTCCAGTCACAGATGCTCCAATCATGATGCAACCGTGCAAATTGTAATCGGTCCTTACGGTTTTTCCTCGAGATTAGCGGCTTCTTACTCGGGCGACGTGCAAATATATTCAAATCATTTAATCTTCTACGTTTTCGTAGAAACAGTGACAATTCCTTTTGTCTCGATTTCGGCTTTTATTTGTCTTGGGGTTTTAAACGGATGTTTGGACGAAATTACTTTTATTAATCTAACTGATCTAGCATTTAGTTTTCTAGGCCGACCACTTCTCTTAGAGGCTTCCAAGATACCTTTTTGTTTATATTTGTTCAATATTGCCCAAACTGCTTTACGCTTCAGCTTCAAGTTTTTGGCAATGTCGACTTGACGTTGACCATCTTTGTATAACTCAGTGATCTTAGTTGTCACATCGAAAGAAATTTCTGGACGACGCGGTATGGTCTTAAAATCACTCAACTTATTCCACAATACTTGATGAACACATACTAATCCTGTTCTGACATGAAACTGTACTAAACTAATGTTGAAAAGAATTTGTCTACATATTTTTGTCCCTCATAAAAAAGTGCTTATATTCAGACTTGTATTATGTTCATTGCAGATAATGTAAAAACAAGGAATTAAGTTTTTCTACTAATAACGCATTTGTTTATGGAACAATGAAGTATGAATTCGTTTTCTAAAGGTATTTAGGTAAATATTCATATTTGTCTATATACTTTTGTTCATTACTGTATCCAGTAGCAACGTCTGAAAATACAACTAGTGGACAGTGTTGGGCGTTGCGCTGAATTTATCGGAGTATTTTTGGAAAGTGGAAGGAAACAATGGGCTTCTGTTACCCTATATTTATGTTTGCGTTCACGAACTTGTACAGTTTTGTATTCAGGCTACGACAATCGAAGTTAATGTCAGTCTGACTCGTGCGGGTGAAAGTACAGGGTGGCCAATATGTAACTGACTGGTTTGTATCTTGAATATTTGTGAAATGAAATAAAATACATCAATTTTTTTCATCTTAACATTTTATTGAAACTTAGAAATTATGGATTAAAAATAATATCAGACAAATGTCCGCCTCTAGAAGCCGCGCAAACCTGAGCCCTCTTGATTACATTTTCCGTCACTTTTTGGTAGTGTTAAATCCGGTGATATCACCAAATCGAGAAATTAAACGTCCCGGAAATATTGTTTGCAGAAGATTGTTTTCCTAGCTGAGCGACAAGTTGCTCCGTCCTGCTGGAACCGCATGTTTTGCAGGCTAAATTATTGAATTTGAGGAGCCAGAAAATTTTGCACCGTATCACGGTAGCGCTCGCCAGTGACAGTATGAGCGTCTTCAAAGAAGTAAGTCCAATGACACCTCCATACCAAACACCGCACCAAACTGTGACTCGACGAGGATGTAGAGGTCGTTGATGGATGACACGAGGGTTCTCTAATACCCAGATACGACAATTCTGCTTCCCATATATATAGAGAAGTAGACGAAAACAGATACGTTGCTGGACTATTTTTTGACCTTTCGAAAGCATTCGATATAATGGATATTTCGTTTATCGTGGAAAAATTGTACTGCTTAGGTATAAGGGATTTTATTCTCAGCTGGATCCAGACTTTCCTCACAGATAGAAAATTGAAAACGAAGGTCAATGGTCATACGTCAACTCAATAATCCGTGAATATAGGTGCGGCACAAGGCTCAGTACTTGCACCACTGCTCTTCATTGTATACATAAATGACTTGAAATTGTCTGGCTTCATGATTAATTATGCGGATGACACATCTATCGTCGTCAGTGCCACGACACCGCAGGATCTTCTCGAATCTATTGAGAAAGTCAAAAGTGAAATGAGCAAGTGGCGCCAGTCTAACCGCCTCATTTTGAATGAAGATAAGACTGTTGAAATTCATTTCTTCAACAAGAAACCACGCATGGATATTGATAGCTTTCAGATCAAACTGTCTTCTTAGGAACTCATGTTGATAGTAAGTTAAGCTGGCAACCACAAATAAATCACATTTGCAACAAAATTAACAGTGCTTATTTTGCAATATTGAAATTAAAGCCTAAGATCCATCTAAACTCACTCTTAGATATGTACTACGCGCTAGTTTATTCTCACCTCACTAACAATATAATCATATGGGGACAGGCAACAATGATTAACAGATTATTCATCCTGCAGAAAAGAGTACTTCGATTAATTTTTAATATTAATAAGAGGGACTCTTGTAAAGAAATATTTAGACGCTATAATCTGCTTACATTAACTTCCATCTATATCTACAAATGTGCCATCTTCGCATTTGAACATAGCAATAGATTTGTTCGTAACAACGCCATTAATAGTCAATACAACACTAGAATAGGGCATGATCTGAGTATACCGACACATAACTCTGCCCTATTCCAAAAATCTCCCACTCTAGCGTGCACTAAGGTATACAATAATCTGCCGAGTGAGTTGCGGAGAAGCACTAATATCCTTGCGCTGAAAAAACATCTCAGGAAATATCTGGTTGAAAAATGCTATTACTCTCTACATGAGTTTTACTAACACATGAAAGTATCTGTTTTTTTAAATTCTTTTAAGCTGTTAATCATTTCGTTATCAGTGAATTGTCTATTATCGTGGAGTAAATGTATTTTAATTTCACTTTTTATTCGAGTTTTAACGAAAGTATGTATGTTTTCTTTTTAAGCTTTTAACCATTTGTCCTCACTGCTCGATGTTTATTGTGTTTATATATTATGCATTTCTAAGAGATTCTCCTACCGCTTTTCTTTTCTTTGTATCAGCTTCAATGATTTTTACCGGCTAGACGAACATTTTTTGTGATAAAAAAAGTCGCTGTATATGTATATATTTTTACCGTTACAGATTACGATTCTTGCACTGTACCTGTACCTATAATGTGATTTAACCTTTTAAAACGTTTTGTAATTGTAATGTCCTTATTTATTTTATAATTATAAGTATTTTTCTGGCATATTTGCTCAAACGCATATATGACCCTCAAATTGATATTGACAAGTCTTATATCATGTAACATGATCTAATAGGACAATAAACTATCTATCTATCTATCTATCTATCTAACAAATCAGTTCATATCGAAGTGGGCTTCATCGCTCATTATATCAGTTGTCGTTAAAAATCGTTATTTTGGGTATAGCTGCAGTATTGCATAACTATTGTCGGCGAATTTTATGGTCACGTGGCTGTAGTTCTTAGGTTAACTGAATTTTGTATGGCCGCAAATGCAAGTCTTTTTTTAAAATAGTGCATAATGATGTGCAACGAATACCCAGAACGATGTCTGGTAGACGTCTCAGGACGCTCCACTACACTTTCACGAACTCTCTCTATATATTCCGGAGTACGAACAGTTCGAACACTTTGGCACATTATTTCGACCGAAATATTGTCGTAGCTTCCGAATACTTGCAACAATCGACTCATTATTTAAGTAAAATGTTTTAACAATACGGACGCGTTGTGGGATCTTGTAGCGCTCTATGATGAATTGGACACATGTGCTTTAAACAACTACTACGGCGCCACCTACTGAAATGCGTGTATCAAAAATGGCGCTCAATTTAAATCAGTCAGTTATATATTGGCTATCCTGTAGTATACATGACTTTGTACCCTGCCTCTAAAGAAAGCGTTTCTGATTAACTGTATTATAAATGTATAGTGGTATGGTTGTTTGAAATGTCAACACCATTATTGTTAGCGTAATATAACCTACCAGTTGTAGGAGGCGTCTCTTACCTTCTTGCACACATTTTGATTTTTTTGGAGGACCATGCCCAGTCGTTCGCTTTCTGTTCGTATGTCTCTAAGACTAGACCTATACCGCACTGATGAGTTTCTGGTAACTGAGACGGAAACCAGACATTTAATCAATGTGTTTGTTTACCGTATTATAACGGGTGATTTTTTAAGAGGTATAGGATTTGATTCTCAAAAAAACACAAAAAAATTGAAAAAACGATTAAATTATTTCATGTAAATTTTGGCCGCTGCTCCGCTTTAGATGGCCCATGCGCAAGGTGCAATTTTGGCACACTCTCTCCAACATATCGGCCGGTATCTCACGAATAAATGCTTCAATATTGGCTTCCAGTGCGTCAATCGTTGCTGGTTTATCCCTGTAGACATTAGCTTCAACATGGCCTCACAAGAAATAGTCCAACGGCGTTAAATCACACGATCTAGGCGGCCAATTGACGGGCCCCAAACGTGAGATAAACTGTTCACCGAACTCGCCTCTCAATAGGGCCATTGTTTCGTGTGCGGTGTGGCATGTGGCACCGTCTTGTTGAAACCACATGTCAGCCAAGTCCAGCTCTTCCATTTTGGTCAAAAAAAAGTTTGTTATCATCGTACGGTAGCGCTCGCCATTCACAGTTACGTTCCGGCTATTGTCGTCTTTGAAGAAGTACGGCCCGATGATGCCACCGGCCCATAATCCACACCAAACAGTGATTTTTTCGGGATGCATTGGTAGCTCTTGTAATGCTTCTGGCTGGTCTTCACTCCAGATGCGGCAATTTTGCTTGTTAACGTACCCATTCAACCAGAAATGAGCTTCGTCGCTGAACACAATTTTTCGATAAAAATGTGGATCTTCCTCCAAATTTGCCAGCGCCCATTCACCAAATGGGAAACGTTGTGGGAGGTCGTGTGGCTTCAATTCTTGCACCAGCTGTATCTTATAAGGTTCATCACTAACACTGGCGGATACAGCCGCAATATTTTCTTTAGTCTACGTCTGCGTGTTGGTGGTTTAATGTCCAATAATGCAAACTTTGTTCGAAATTTAGTCACAAGCTTCCGAATAGCTCCCTCAGTAGGCCGACCAAATCGCCCATAAATTGGAAGCAGTGCTCGATGCACTCTCTTAACCGAGTATGAATTTTGATAGTAAAATTCAATAATTTGCAAGCGTTGTTCGTTCGTAAGTCGATTCATGGTTAAATTATAGACCAAACTGAACAAGTTTGACAATGACACAAGACACGATTCACGCGTCATATGTCAAAAACAGTGTTGCCAAAAAGATACTAGCAAAAAAATCACCCATTATTAACGTCAATAATCGACGGAAACTCATGCATATCCCATATATCGCGAGACATTTCTAAAATGAGATATCTTTTGATATCACATATACATATCATTTCCGTCTGTCTGACTGTCGGTCCGTCCGCTAATCTTGTCTAAAAGTGATGCATATCCCCTATTCTTCAGATGTTTGTCCCACATTATGAAATCACACTGTATATTTTCTAGGTCCGAGACAACCGATGCCTCGACAGCGAGCCCCGATGAGCGTCCGACCGCGCATGGGCGCTCCGGGGGCACCAGGGGGCATGGTACGTCCGGGGGCGGGTATGCGGCCCCGAGGACCCGCTCCAGCCAACGGAATCCGTCCTACCGGACAATCGCCTGTCAAGCGCCCCCCTCAGGCCAACAATCAAGCGGAAATGCAGACGAAGAAGAAAAGGTTCGATCTGCTGACGCCCGATAAGGACGACGAAGACTGCCAGGTGATCTGCATGCAACCGAAGAATACTGACGGCGGTTTGCCACAGATTGAAAGTGTGCAGGTAGGTTTTCTTTTATTAGTATTACATGTGCCACTCAAAAACGCCTTGGTATGATTAAACTACGAGACATTGGAGTGCGTAAATTTCCAGATGCGGATATGCGTAACTCTTGGAGGTCAATTTTTCAATACTAAGGAATATGATAGCCAATACAAAGGCGGCCGTAGTTCTATCACTTTTCGGGGCTCTAAATTTTTTAAACTTTCGGAAGTCTCACATCTAATCTCTGATTATATGTTATGAAACATTTAATGATCTGAGAATCCTTGGATCATTTTGTGCAACTTCTTTTGTTATGTATAGAATCTAAAAAGTTCAGGGATTGCCTTTACAACTTTTTCAGGCATACCTTCTACGAAAAGATATGCCCGTGTTAATGATGCAAGTACCGATGTGACGATTATTGAAGCGGGTGTTCCCCAAGGATCGGTCTTGGGGCCTTTTCTTTTTTACTATATGCGAATGATCTGTTTGCAGTTTAAAGTTGTTAAATTATATGCGGATGATATTAACATCTTATTGACCAGTTCTAATAACATTCAACTCTTTCATAATACTGAAGCGGTATGCACAGCTGCTCAAAAATGGTCTGTGAATAATCACCTTATATTAAATACAGATAAGACCCAATTAATGAAATTCCCTCTAAGAGATAACTGGGATTTCTCTCTTTAGGTTGTTGAGTATTACCATTGATTGTCATCTAACTTGGGGCCACATGTGGAATTGCTCTGTCAAAAATTATGTAAAAGTGTTTATGGTATAAAAGTGTGACCAAATCACTGTAGTTAGCAAATTTTACCTTGTGCTATTCAAGCTTTAACTGTCACTCGGGCTATGGTATCTTAAGCTAGGGATGCAGCTCATCGATAGAGTCTTTTCTTCTCCAAAAATATGTTATTACGAGGGTGAATCGAATGTGAACCGGACTTTTCTGTTTAACGTGCCATAGGTGGATGGAGTGGGTCGACGTCTTGGTATATGTTGGCTGGGGATGTCAAGAAGAGGGGAGTCAGTCGGTTTGGCGCGCCTAAGTAGATGAGTTGTTAATAGCATCATGCACACGTGTCCAAAATGTCCATGGAGTGACGAAAGCCTGGTGAGGCAGCACCGCGAAAAGCCAAGACCAGTCTTTCTGCAGGAAAAGTTCTTGCAACAGTATTTTGGGATTCCAGAGGTGTACTTCTGGTTGATTTTCTTCACGATCGCCGTACAATTAATGCTACTCACTACTGCCAACTGCTTAAAGAAGTGAAACTGGCCTATCGGCGAAAAAGGCAAGGCATACCTTTTCGAAGTGCCTTTCTGCTCCGTGACAACGCGCGACCACACACAGCTGCATTGACCCAAGAAAAATTACGCGAAATCCATTGGGAAACCCTTGAACACCCGCCTTATGGTCCCGATTTCTCTCCATGTGACTATCACATGTTTGGGCTACTTAAAGAAGACCTTGGAGATCACCACTTTGACGACGACGAAGGCGTGGACACGTTGGTGCACAATTGGCTACTGACCCGACCAGCTTATTCTTTGATGGTGAATTAAAAAAGTTCAGATCCCATGAGAAAAATGAATCAATAAGAGAGATTATATAGAAAAATAAGATGCAAACTAAATTCTATTCACTATACCAATAAAATTAGTAAAACAAAAGTCCGGTTCATATTTGATTCACCCTCTTAGAATTAAAATCTTTTTGGCGTGAATCTTGCAGATATTATTTTCGATCCTTAAGAATTTTGACAGTAGCTTGTATTTACATGTATGAATTATTAATATACGATTATCAAACTCGATCTAAAGATCTGCTGATACCCCCTCAACATCGTACTGCAGCATATCAGAAATGTTACATGGGTTGTAAAATAATTCAAAAGAAGTTATTCAAAAAGAATCATTTTATAACATACTGTATGTGTTTTTGTAGCATGGAAGAGTTCTTTGGAAGTGTTTTTTAATCTGTATTGTATTATTCCACTATTTCCTTTTGACTTTTGATTTTTGTTATAGTCTGTGGATATTTGGAAATGAATAAATGTATTATGATTATTTATTATTATTTCAAATTATTCCAACCACGCTGCCACATATTTCACTAGTGGTAGCCATAATATAAGTTCAGGGTTCATTATTTTTCAACACGCTACTCAAACACATTTTGAAGGTGATCTACCTAGAGTGATGAATACAATTACCTTACAACGTCCATTATTTTTTTAATTCTAGGGTGGTACCGAGCAAGCGGAAAGCAGCATAATGCACCTGTCCGACTCCATAACGCTGAGCGTTCGCAACCCGCCTCCTAAACCAGTCGTTCAAGAACCGAAAAAGTCTGATGCGAAAGCGGTGGCCAACATCCTGGCCACCAGGGGCATTACTGTGACGGCGTCGGCCAAACCGAAGGAGAAACCGCCCGAAACTGCTGGAGGCGGACAGAAGCAGCAGTTACCCGCATCGCTGAATCTCAACGGAGCTGTCAGCATTATTCCAGCGGCTAATAAGGCCAACGGGCATCCTAAGGTATGCATAAAATATGGATGTTTTTACAACCCCGCGAATAATAATAGGTGTCGCCCGCTCAAAGTGTATTAATGCTGAGGACGAGGCCTGTCGTAGCTGTATGGACGCCCACGTGCAATACGGATTAAGCCGCTCCACATTGAGCCAGGGAGGAACAAAATCTGTCGAAAAGTCCCTATTTAAGACAAAAATGCTCATTCCCTTGCTTTTTTGGAATAATGCGGAGTGATTAAGGATGCTAAATTAGGAAAATGGACTTTTACTCTCCTTGGAAAATGCCTTTTTTAAAGTACTGACCAAAAGATATTTGCGCATAACACTGTGCCTGAAAAACTACTAAACAACGCAGCCCTGTAAGAAAAATTGTGAGTTGGCTCAACTTTTTTATAACAATGGATTTTAAATTGTATTTTATAAAAATAATTACTATCTGAATATTACATGAAAAGGAAAGAGTTGTTCCGGATTGACACCAACATACTTGATCCTATGCAATCCTGTACTCTCTGTAAACAAAAATTTCTGGTTTAAAATCTGATCCCTTGTCGAAACAGACGTATACTATATTAATACTAAAAGATCCAGGGAATTATATTTCTTCGAAAAGAATTTGGATTACCTGACATTATTTGACAAAGTATGCTACATACTAACTAGTCTAAACAGTTTAAAACATAATTATGTGTTCAGTTTGCGCGCTAACTTTATAAACAGTTTAGCGCGGTGGGCTATGTACAATGTATTAATTACCTATTTTACAGTGTTCTTAATATATCTAACTTGAAGATCCGACAATAATTTTATATATTTTCGACAGACCACTAAAATCGTTGCCACTCACACAGCATAGCCGCCCGGTCAAACGCGTCCGGAAAGAAGACTTCGGCGACACATTGATGTGCTAAAACTACTTTTCATGAATGATGTTAGTTAAATAAATATCTCTGATGCTTTCAGAGCAGATAGCAATCAAGACATGCGCCTGCCTTTAATTACAACTACTTAGTCTGAGCTGGCCGGACAAGCTCTTCAGTTTTGTCATGTACGGATGTGAATGTGAAAGTGAAGAATTTTTTTTATACTCCAACTACCACGAAGGGCTAAGGCCTAAACATCCATTGGGTACCATGGGGCTACTTTGTGAAGAACAATTATTCATTCTTATTACTTAGTTACTTATTTTTAATTGCTTAAGTGTGAAAAAAATAGAGCTTCGTGACACTAGGATTTTTTATATGGAGAGCAAAAATGAAAATTCTGAGTGGTGAATTTTTAATGTTTTCTGACGAAAATATTCAGAAATTCTTTATAGTGTAAATTGGATGCGTATAGCAAGAATCTACTGTCAGTTTTTTCAGTGAGATTGACGGAAGGTCCCAAGGTTCCTGTTCCAAATACTTTCATTCACGTCTAGACACGAAAAACGAAAATACAAATTATGCGTGAACCTGTCAGTGATTGTGTCCAAGATCCCGCCACACAAATTCTGCTACGCTATATATATATATATATATATATATATATATATATATATATATATATAGCGTAGCAGAATTTCCATCTTCGTTTCCTCAGGTTACACCCGTATCCGGATGTGTGGGCATGTGCATCTACTTTTGTAGTTTCATATGTGCATTCATTTCGGGCCTGATGAAGCCAACCAGCAGAAATACGTATCGCTCGGGTTACCTATCCTATTTTCTGCTCGAATCCACTTTCCTCCTTTTTTGCGGATTTTGTCCATTATTTTCCTACTTTTTGTTATATACCTTTCTCCGCATGATCATTTTCTCTTTATATACAGAATTCACAAGGCCGGATCCCGGACACTGTCACCGACAAATCACCGACCACTGTAGGAACAAACCGTAGGTATCTATTATCAGTTTTTCGCCGAGTTCGGCGAAATGCCCTAAAAACTCCACGTTCCTGTTCCAAATGGAACTTCGCGGCACTTCAGAACTTTTTGAGTTGATGCAAGCATTTTTGTGGGTTTGTAATCTAGACGGAAACTCGATTCTTGGTTAAATTGGATGACTATGTTACGAATGTGCAGCCAGTTTTTCGCTGAGAGAGATGCTTACGATAAGTGGGGTGTGTAATGTGATAATGACTTTCACCAATCAATGATCATTCGATTTGCCGCCCCCCTGGACATGAATTAAATAATTCAGTTTCCAAATTTGAATCCGTATCTGAAATTCCGTAGACCCACATACAGAAAAGTAGGTCAAATATCATAAGGTTGAGCTTTATGTCAAGTAGGTCGACTCCTTATCTCACAAACATGATCGCTTTGTTTTAAATCATATGGCGTTAGACTTGGAAATAATCTAATTGATGACAGAATTCCGTGGGAAATACAGATTCAACCTAGGTACTTGAGACACCGCTTTTACTCACCAGTTCTGAATTTTGTTTCAGCCCCAATCCGAATCTCTTCCGACCGTAGACTTGACAGATGACAGCAGCCCGGCGGCGCCGGCGCCCCAGCAACCTTCACCAAATTCTCCCCAGAAGCAGCGTGCAGGCCTTCCCTATCGTTGCGACTTGTGCCCTGCCACTTACCCCAATGCACTGGGGCTGAGCAAACATCGGCAGACCTACCATAAAACCACCGGCGGTATGTGTGAATTGGGCATTCCACTGATCAACCTGAAGCAGCCTGGAGTTGTGCAGAAACTTTCCTCGCTCGGTATTAACAGCTTCATACCGATGCCGTCGTCTGGACCGGAAGGTATGCTTATAGTTTATGGCGTTTTCCACTGGCATGCAGTTTTTAACCTTTTTGGCAATTTTTTGCCAATTCGCTGATTTGTTCTGTACTTAATGCATTTTTACTTCCCACGCCTATTGACTGTATTGAAATCGCAAAATTTCGAATATTAGATATGTTTTATGGATGTTGTATGACATGTATAGTCTGCAAAAACCAAAAGTTCGCCAAATTTATTCTGAAAAACAGGGTTTAAATAGCTTTAAAATAAAGTGATATCGAAATACTCTTCAAGGTCTTGCAGAGCAAGGTTTTAACTTTGATTGAGGTACTTGGCGACCTCAAAAATTATAATTTTAAACCGAGTTTTTAAGCATGGAATATAGCCGCACGGTAACGCCTAATCAATTTTAACAATTTTTTATACAAGGTGTTCCAGAAGTCAACGTCAAGCCGGAAACGGGGATAGGCCAAGTCATAATACGAGTAGTTATCAGGAAATTATAAAAGATATCTGTGATGATCTTTTAGTTCCCATTACTACAAATTTACTACAATTAGCGACGGACAGTGTCATTCTTTGAGTGACAGCAAGACAGAAAAGAGTCACAAGCACCACCGTTTGGAACAAAGCAAATCCTGCTGCAGGCAATGATGCTTGTGGTCAACGTGTATGGGGGTGGTCTGAAAAGTTTCTGACCTAACAAAGATACAAGGCATATTTTCTTCACATTTTTTTTTAATTTTCCAACATAGTCTGCTTGTAACTACACACTTCTCCCAGCGATGCTGTTTGTAACCCATCCAAATAGTACTCGGCGTTTTTCTCTGCAACGAAGGTGATTGCGTATTCAATTGACGAAAATATCTGTCCTCCGAGCGCATTTTTTAGATGAAGGAACAAAAAGAAGTCTCTTGAAGCTAGATCTGTTGAGTAAGGCGGATGGTAAAGCAGCTCAAACCGTAATTCGTGGATTTTCTCCATGGCAACCGCTGAGGTGTGAGACGGTGCGTTATTTTGGTGAAACAGGATCTTCTTTTTTTGCAAATGTGGCCGTTTTCCCGCAAGGCCTTCAGCTTGTGAAGTAATGATGCATAATATGCTCCTGTAATGGTTTTTCCTTTTTGAAGATTATCGATTAAAATAACTCCATGACTATCCCAAAAAACAGTCGCCATCACTTTCCCAGCCGAAAAAACAGTTTTTGCTTTTTTGGAGACTATATTTTTGTGGCGGGCGAATAATCTTCTATCTAAGCTTGATCAACAGTAATTAATTGGCGCCAGAATTCGGATTTGTTGCGCCTAAACTACGACAACAGAGCATTGGAAATGTTCATTCGAACACGTTTTTGGTCTAAAGCGGCACCCAATACGAGGACAGCTTTCTCATGCCTAAATGTTGATTTAATATGTGACAAACTCGTTATTTTGACATGTTCATAACCTTTCGTATCTATCTCACTTTAATTCGGCGGTCGTCAAGCACCATTTGACGAACTTTTGCGTTGCAGTTTTTGGACGTCCCGAATGTACATCGTCTCCCAAGCTCTTACGGCCACTTTTATATTCAGCTGTCCAAAATTTCACTGTGGTAAATGATGGTGCTGAATCCCCATACACAGAATCCAACTCATCTTTGATTTGCGCAGGCGTATTGCTTAATATTTAATGACAGCTCGCTACTCAATTTTGTCCATTTTCACAAAAAACAATCACATCAACTCACTCAAACCATGTTTTTATAACAACTGCGCGTCCGAAATGACTGAAAATGAGTGAGTTACTGTCAACAGATGAACAACGGAATTCACTAGCTTTCATTTACGATGGCTGCCATCTTCACTTTGAGGTCGGAAACTATTCAGACCACCCTCGTATATTCACATAATCATATATGCAAGAAAATAATACTGTATAAAAGTTTAAATACATTGGAAAGCTGTTGTGAAGCATTAAGACCAATTACAATAAGAAACGAGTTTTTCGTTCACATGCAAGCTGCTAGAAACACATATTGCTTGAGGTCAACATTACCAGATAAAAGGTTAATCTCTTGTAACGCAAAGTAACTGATTAAGGGTTGGTCTTGTGTTTTCTAAGCTGTCTCTAGGCACACCCGTCATGTAACATATTCTGACGTTAAACCCTAATTTCGTCAAACGTCCGTGTATATCTGAACAGCAAACCAGATTCAGTTGATTCGAAAGATTACGTCCCTCTTCGATTTGCAATTTTATTTTGAGTGAGTGCATGCTAAAAAACGTTTTAGTGCGGTTATTATCGGAAATGAATAAAAGTTTTTTGTTACAGGTACTTTTGCTCTGCCTGTGATCAACACGAGGAACGCAGGAAACGTAGCGGCGATAGGTGCTACGAGCATGTTAACTCTTGGCCCAGTTAGAACCATACGGCCGCAGATGGCGAATGGATCGAAGCCACCTGCAAATGCACAAAAGTCCCAATAATTGATAGACTAAAGCTGCATACCCATTTAGATCATACAGGTGTTCGAGGTGCTACAACATAAAAGTCATGTCTGAACGGCAGTATTACGCATTTTTTTCTACAGTATTGTGCTTGTGGCAAAAAGCCCTATTTTTACGTTTTGTTTCACATTGCCTAAGTGGGTAGTTTAGCTGATAAAGCGCTACCAATCACTATAAAATTGCTTTATTTTTTCGGAACAGCTAAACGAGCAGTGTTTATGGACCGGCGATATTGCTTGGAGGATATATTGCTGCTTCTCAAGAATAGTGACACTATTCAGAAAAAGCTTTTTTTCAGGAGAGGCATTTTTAATATTTTTTGAAGAAAAATTTCGAATAACTGAAGGTAAAGTTGATAATCTGGATTATTATAAAAATTATCAATTTAATGCGGTTTATTGAACTTTAAAAAAATATTCCATTTTATTAATTTTTTGCAACTTTACAGAAATGTGTCCTAAAAAAATGCATTTCTAAAAAATATATGACAAATAATCGTGGTTAAGGAACAATGAGGGTAAATTTATTTTAGTATTACTCCCAATGATACACAATTAACAACATTTTAAACGCTACGTGGAACTAAAAATCAAAGGTAAGTACGGAAAAAAAAATACAATACAAAAATTCGTTACAAATTACTATATATATATACTATTATATTTTTTTCCACTAAATTGAGTAAGGCGTGTCTTTTTCTTGGAAATGGGAATCTTACGTTTGTATGCTTTATTCAGAGTAACTCTAGGACCTCATTTTATTGCTTCGTTTTTGTATGAGTTTTTGTAGAAAAATGTCACAGAATGTTAAGATTCTACCCTTATTATTCTAACGTCGGATATTTTGAATGACTCATTTTTATGTTGTAGAAAGATAGTCACAATGCACTTTATGTCACTATTCTTGATTAACACGATCTGTTATTAGCGTACGTTTCTCTGATATGAGGTTATTATTGAGAAAATTGTAAGTATATGCTTTGGAAGTCAAGCCGCAACTGCAATATGACATTATTCATCACAGAACCCCAAAACATTCGATATTAACGATTCGATATTCCTCATAAAATAGTCAACATTTGTAGTGGATCTGCGATTTTGATTATTTTTTCTTGTTTTTTTGGATGGTGTCACTATTCTCGAGAAGCAGCTATATATCTCGGTTATATCAGCTGTATTTTAGCTATATCTTGGCAATATTATATGTAATTAGTGGACACAACGTGTCTGAATTTTTTCATCAGAAGAACTACAAAATCAGGCGAGAATGACTGAGGAAATTGTACATTTAGTAGGATTTCAATAGTTCGGCAATCTGACGACAGCAATATATGAAAGTATTTCAGAAATGTCAAGAACATATAGCAATATAGCTGGACCAACAAATTCGAATATATTAGGAGTCAAATGCATTGTTTGTCGCGAAAATTTCGTATTTTTAGGTCATACTTTTTGACTCTTGTCTACCAATGCCTACCAAAGTAACAGCGTTGCATTAATATAATACTTACTGGTGGAAATATCTACCTTCAGTAAGCTTGTGTAAGAAGCACCATGTCCTCAAACACCACAATTATTTGCAAATTGAAAATTAACTCTAAATATATGAATTTAATGACAACTGTAAAAAATAGAGTAATGTCAAGTGCACGTTGATCCTCAGCACAGACTGTGAATTAGTCTAAATTCGTTCTGCCGGAGAGTAAAAATATAGCCCGTTCAGAAGCGCCATTTCTGACAGAAGTAACAATATTTAATTTACATGTATATTTTACAACATTTTAACGAAAAACATAATAAATTTACTGACAGAAAGACTTTGTATAGTTGAGTTTATGTGTAGTATCTGTATAGTGACTGTAGTGGTCTATTTATATGTACAGATATATATTCTTATGGATTGCAAAGCTGTGTTCTGTGAATATGCATTATTTGTATATAGTTATTTAGTATTCATAAATTGAATGTATTTGGCTGTTAATTTATCAAAGATATAATACACAAGAAACTACTATAGTTCATATAATTTTTTAGAGTTATCAATATGTTGTATTCTTAGCATATATTATGCTTGAGGCACATTGTAAATATTTTTTATACTGAAAAACGATTTTTATTTTGAACATAGCCCAGTTTATAGAGACTGATTAAGTTATTATATGTTAGATGTGCAATTATTATATAAAATAGTAATGCATATGTTTCACTTGCATATTACTAGATAAGAATATGTTGTAACATTTATGAAAATAAAGATTCCTTTTGTATACATGGATCAGTACTCTATTTCAATGAATCCTTCCTAAATTGATTAGTCCTGTTTATTAAACAACTAAGTACACATTTGGCTTCTGGAATTTCAAACAAAATATGAACAAAATGGATTTTTTGCGAGTCCACGGTTTCGCGAAGAACGGGAATAGCGGAAAACGGATGTGACGTCATACCAATGTCAAAAAATCACGTGGTACGGTTAACCGCCAAACATCGGTGAGATACTAGCGAATGACAGGTCTTATGTCAAGGTCATTTAAAATACAGACATCTCAATTGAAAATTTGTCTTCAAGGTGCCGAAAATTGAGTTAAATTACTAAATCATAAATGGATGAACAGGTCCACCTGATTTTAAATGACGAGGGAGGTCATCGTAGTTATATGAACCGCACTTGTCATATGAAACGGTTGAATATATTGGCGTATTCTTTAATTCACCGGTCTATATAGTTTCTAAAAGAGTTTGGTGTACAACCGGTCGCTCAGAAAAATTGGTTAATTGCTTGCACCGGTGGCTCAACCGGTGAATTAAAGAATACGCCTTATATATATATACAGGGTGACTTCGAAGTTGAGTCATTTATTTTAACAGTGAGTAGATCTGATCAAAAGAAATGTTTTTTCCTTTACCATTTTTCTGGTAAAATTAAAGTAACAAAGTTTGAGTACCGCCCTGTCTCAATAATAATATCATGTGCTCGTGTTTGGCAACAATGGATATAATCCGCCTTATGGGTTCATCGCATCGGAAACAAAAAAGCGAAAGAATTTGGAACGATGTTTTTACAATTATTTTATTCCGTTGTATACATACAGTCAGTGTCAGTCGGTAACGCGTATGGATAGTGGTGTCTGTTGCGTGGCTCAAACGAAATAAAAAATGGCACATGTTTATGCGGATCGGTTTCCCAATCGAGTGCAACCAACCCCTCGTGCCTTTGTTAATGTAGTACAACGGGCTCGTGAATCAGGTGACTTAAGACCTCACAGGGGACCTCACGATCAAATACAGGTCCGCACTGAAATACTTGTCGGGAGGATACTTTATAAAACAAGGTAAAAAAATTTTTTATAATTTTTTTTTTATTTTTACACACATATTTTGGTTTATCTTCCTTCTACAATCATTATCTGAAAATTAATGACTCAACTTCAAAGTCACCCTGTATATATATATATATCCTTGATCGCCTTCATCACGCCCGAAATGAATGCACATATGCAACTACAAAAGTAAATACACATGCCCATACATCCGGATACGGGTGTAACCTGTGCCCCCTGCACCTCTCCATCTTCGTTTCCTCAGGTTACACCCGTATCCGGATGTATGGACATGTGTATCTACCTTTGTACTTACATATGTGCATTCATTTCGGGCCTGATGAATGATGAAGCCAACCAGCTCGGGTTACCTATCCTATGTTCTGCTCGAATCCACTTTCCTTCTTTTTGCGGATTTTGCCCATTATTCTCCTATTTATTTTGTTATATACCTCTCTCCGCATGATCACTTTCTCTCTCTCTGATAAATAACACCCTGTATATATAAAAACCATCCATGCACCATGCACATGTAACTAATTATTCCCATCTCTATTTTCATCATGCTGTCAAACAGTGTTACCGAACCTACCAGATTTTCCGGTATTTCTACCGAAATATGACACCGAAAACGTCCTCCTTCTTTTCGGTTTTTTTGAAATAATTGAGATATTTACAGATTTTTACCGAAACAAAAAACGGGAACTTAAAATAAAGCTGAAAAAATGGCGTCGAGGAGGTTGACCCTGCTCTTCTTACGCGACGCTGATGTTATCAGTTCATAAAGGATTATTTTCGGTACACGTTAGTCAATCTTAGAAAAAAAATGGCTACGAACATGAATAAGAAGAAATCAAATGGATCATGGTAGTCAAACAGGCTCATACAATTAGTCCAAAGTCCAACAATGCGATATCGAGCCTATCGTCCTACCGACATTAGCGACCACCCAGCAACTTGCTGGCGATCCAGCGGGTTACATACACAAAAACACGCATCATCATTCAGTTAGTTACCGTTTGTGGTTGCTGTTATCTCAGTCTAAAATGTTTTGTGCCGTTATCCCTCAGCTTTCGGCGCAGACAGACGTACCCTCCTCGAGTTGTTCAGCACTCGTATATCAAAAAGATTTCTATCAAGTGTTAATGACAATTGTACGGGGAAATCTATGATGTATGATATATATCTAATCAGTACGTAGAATTACCACTGCAAAAGTGGAAATTGATCTGGTATACCTCTGAATACGTCAAAAGATGCATTTTATTTCTTCGTTTTTTAGCCCTAGCTTTGCTGCCACTGAAAACTTAAACGGCGGCCTTTTGCGAAATTTTCATCTAAATCCGAGCAGTTCTTCCCAAGTTATAGACGATGGAAATTAGTGAAATGGTTTTTCGAGATTTACATGACATTAACATTCAAGAAATATATCTCATTTTTGGGATTTTTCACAATCTATCTTTAGCATTTTTTGTTGAAGAGATTCGCTTTTCTGCCAGTTAGAACCTCAGTAATTTTTGGGCAAAAGGCCGCCGTACTACCCTGATGAGCAGAAGAAGTCAAGTCAAGTCCAGTCATACATAAGCACACACTTAGGCAGTCGCGCACACGACAGATATTGATTTGGGTTGCTTACATCACTTACTCAACAAGAATGGATAAAGGAGTTTCCAGAATACAAGTTGGAATAAAGAAGCTGATATTTTTTTAGAAAAGATGCCCTCAAAAAATCTGTGTTGTCCGCGCAATACGAAAATATACTTTTTTTCATATTGCCTTGCGACAGCTCTGATTTTTCCTCCCACCGATTTTGTCCTTGAATCTACGGAAATTCAACAACACTTATCTACCGATTTTTGGTTCGGCAACACTGCTGTCAAAGGTGTCGAAAATCTAACCTTAGTTTTTTAAAAGTCTTTAACCTATAAAGAAAAGTCCAGGTATTTTCATTTTGTAATTTGTAATAAATACATAATAAAATTTCGGAAATCATGGCAAATAAGCTAGCCTGGTTTTTAACTGATGCCGGCAAACGATTTTCTTTCTATGCCGCCTGCGCCGTTAGTACTAGTACTGCCCTTGTGCATTTCGCTCCTCATACATTTTTCCTTGATACATATGAAGAGTTCTTACACTTATATAAGTAAGTATAATTGGTATGTAGGCGTTTTGAAATTTGGGATAGATAAACGACACATTTATTTATCTAACTTATATAGGAATGGAATGGCTGTACAATTAACAGACAAGCTAAAGCAGCGGTTCCAGAAGACATTGGATATTTTGGAGGTAGGTAAGTCTGTGTGTGTTTTACTTTCAACTTTTCTAATATATATCCAGTATATGCATTCTGCGAGCTTAGCAAGATATTTCTATTGAGCCCCCTCCAGTTGCAGTATGTTTAATGCATGTCGGAACCATTCCCAATGTACTAACTACAGTATTATGCACTACTCATTGAGCTACCCATTTTTACACCATGATAAAATGAAATTTCCCAGGTGGAATGTGTAAAGAATAACTGAGCACTTTGAGAAGTTATGCTGAATTACTGAAAAACCTCACACTTCAGGTCAGTGTACATTATTAGCAAATTAAGAGGTAGGTGCCCATCCCATAGATGCCCAATTCTGCCATTTATTTTATCAAGAAACTGGTTTTAAATCTCAGTGTGTATATATATTAGTATAAAAATTACCTTGCTAGACCTGAATGGGGAGATTAACCCCCCACCTAGAGGTATCCCGCCCCCTGGTCTTCAGTTGTTACGAGACCATTTTGCTGTCAGAAACACTGCTTAAGTACTTATGCATGCTGCTGCCACCCTCCTCTCATCAATTTTTAATAGTTGTTAACCACTCCCCATGACAAATGTCCTTCAAAATGCAATGACCACTGCTGCACCCCCATAGACAGATTCCTAAATCTGTCCTTGCCAAAGGGGCAACATTGTCAAGCATTTCTGGCTGAATGGGGTTATAGAAGTTTCCCTGCTTTCCCTTGCATCAAAACAAAGTATTCATTGCATTCTCATTTACATTTATCCAGAACAGTTAGATGGGCATCAGAGTAGCATATAACTCCAAAATAAAATCTTTTGTAAGCTACGTCATGAAATTATTACAATTGATTGAAGACTAATGCAAGATGTGGTTAAGTCTAGTTATCCACCTGCTTATGTATACTATAATATTTGGCTCCATGCAGTGCAGTTCTTTACTTGGTATATGTTTTTGAGGCCTCAAATACCCAGCTATCCAAACCTCTCAAAAAAACTTAAAATGCCAAAATAAATATTGATAATATTGATAAATGTGCTCAAGATCTGCCAACATTGTAAATCTTCTAACTCGCCTACTGATATTTTACTAAGTAACCATTCTTTGTCAAATTAGAGCACAAGGTTCATGTTGTTTGTGTCTACAAAGTAGTTAAAACTGTTTTTAGGTGAAGAAAGCAGACCAACATTTATACAAACCATTTTTTGCCTATGGTTTTGATATTATTAGTGCTGGTAGTGCATATAGTAAATTTGGTGCAATAATCGGCCTCCCATATTATTTCACTCATGAGAGTACCAGTGACATAGACAAGTCAAAAATCAAGGCAAGTTTTCTGTGACACAATTTATTTTATATATTTTAGATTTAAGACAAATGACTTAAGATAAAGCATAAAGCAAGCCACAGGATAAATTGCCTAACACTCAATAAAAAAAGATCTTGGGACTGTATTACTTCAGAGACTAAACAGGAGAACATATTGCTTTACTTTAGTTTCAAGTATGCTGCTGCCTGGAGTAAAATCCTTGTTGATGTCATTTTGATTATTTGTTTGACTGAAGTGTAATTTTGGTTTTGGAGAAGGGCTCTATTAGGAAACAAAAATTTTACATTATGATCAAGAACAACTAGTACAATACATCCAGTAGTATGGAATGAAGTATGCTAATATCCTGTCATTTATTTTATTATACCACAAAAGTGGCAAACAGCATGTTAAAAGTTTTTCTTAGTAAGACTTTATGGGAAAACAGACATTACCCTATCGTTTGAAGTGATGTCTGATGTAATCTCAGAAACTTATTTTGTTGCTATCTTTCCAATACATAAGAATAGTTCTTTCTGTTTAGCTCAGTGATGAAACAATTATTTGGGACAAAGAAGAAGCACAACAGCTATTAGATTCTCTGGTAATGAGTGAAAACGGTCAATTATATGCAATGGCTAAAGAAATTTTGTACAGACAGTCTCCAAAGCCCCTGCTTGGTAAGTAATTTCTATCTTAGCTGACAAGTGTTTCATTATATCCTGGTTGTAGTACCTTTTCCTTTGCTGGGATTGAAAATCTATAGGGGTCCCATTTTACCTTTCAATGTCCTTTCTCATTATACTGTATCATACGAGGATTGGGCTATGAATGTAGAGCAAAGGTGCTGTTCCGGGACGTGTAGCGACCAGTGTTATTAACACTTGAGTTTAAAAAGTTCCGTGCGAGGTTTACAAAAGTTACGATTTTTCATGCACAAATGATGTCACATGATCTCTTTGCATTCCGCAAATTGGCCAGTGACGGATTCCTGTAGCTCAAGGTCGTAAATATACTGGGTGTCCAGGATAATGAGCCGTTCTTGGGGGCGTATTTCCATGCCATTGGGAAACTTGTACAAATTTCCTGGCTTTACTGAGGCATTTAGGAAAAAATAAAATTCAACTAAATCGTTTTTATTTTTTCTGACTTTATTTTAAGCAATATCAAAAACTTGCGGAACTTTTCCATTGACACTTGTTAGGAGCTACATGATGGTGTTTTTAAATTTCATATCCAACTTTTTGGTTTGTGAAACCATCATCAACTTTTCTTTATATGGTCTGAAAAAATTACCCACACAAGAATTTTCTAGAAATAAGCCTACAGCTCTGTGCGGGAGCACCGTCTTGTTGAAACCAACAGCTCTTAACCTGTGCCAATAGTAAATGATCTAGGCTGGCTTCACGATCGTGTTGCAAAAATTCAAGGTACCGTTGTGCAGTTAATGTATTGCCCAATAAGTGGATCTAATATTTTGGACCCTAGCATTTTACACCATATATTTAAACCCAAAACGTTCTTGATGTCTGGATACTTTTTTAGCCGGCAGATTTTCTTAAGCTCGGTAATGAATGTTGCGGTGTTTAAAAATAGATACTCTCGTCGGACGATATTATTTTTGAAGGGAAATTAAACTCTTCACACGTTCGTCTGCACCACTCACAAAAATGCTGGCGCCTTTTGCTGTCCCCTGGTCCTTGGAAAATCATAAATTTATAGGGGTGAAATTTATCAAGATACATTCCTGCAGTATTTTTAGTATGTTAAATGACCGCCTGTCAACTTTGACGATAGTAAAGCAACATTGACAATACACAATACTCGGTGACATTTATTTACGTTAAGTCAAGCGACGCATATTTAAAAAATAAAAATAAAAAAAAACAGAAAAAACGCTTTTTTCCTTATAATCATGATAATAAATGTAACGTGATACATCGTTGAATTCGCATGAAAAATGCAATTAGATACAGGGTGTACTTTTTTCGGATTATATAAAAAAATAAAGTTGATAATGGTTTCTCAAAAATGAACCGTCGGGCACAAAATTTAAAAACACCATCGTGTAATGCGTAAAAAGTGCCAATGGAAAAGTTTCATTAGTTTTTTGAAATAAAGTCAGAAAAAAATAAAAATTATTTGGCCAAATTTTAGTTTTTCCCAAATATCTCAGTAGGCCATGATATTTTTAATTTCTCAACTGTATGTTAACACGCCCCAAATAACGCAACTTTTTTCTAATTTAATCTTAGCTGTATCTTCCACAGGTATTGAGAACCCCATGTATAGGTTCCTTATCTTTTGCACCCTGTATAATAGCGAACTATTTTATTTACATCCATTTATTTAACCAGATATTTGACAATGTCAGAGTACTTACGATACGATGGAAGCAATGTAACGATGAAGAAAATAGGGTAAAGTTGAGTATTCAGCATCATCACTACTGTTTTGTTTCGTACACGAATTCCCTTAGAAAAAGTTCTTCGGACTTTTTTGTGTCAAAGTTTCTCTTTGTCCGTCCATTGTTTGACTCGTCTATTCTCAATTACTATATAATTGCGTTAGAACTATTCTTTTTAGGCTACGCCATTGGAATGAATGTAGAAGTCAATCGGTGAGAGTTTGGTCACGTTAGCAGTGCGGTAACGGGTATACAGCTACAGGCCAACTCCGATCATTGTCTGCCCAAATTCTGACAGGGTTGCCATGTTGTCGTTGTCACTCTAGTCGGCAAATCCATGTTTGCACACCTAAACTACCAAACTTATGTTTTACGAATTCCTTGCCTATCGTAAAAGAGTGTAGAAATTTTCCATTGTTCGATATACTTTTTCTAGTTGTTACTAGTTTTAAATCATACACTTCCTAAGATTAGGTAAATCATTTTTGAAATCTGACAACTGCGGTATAGATGAGTCACTGCCATCAATTTTGATCTTCGGTTTATAGTGATGTAGTATTGATACAGAAAACCTGACACTATCACACTTTCTCTGTAAAATATTCAAATTCAAAAAAAATATTTTATTTTTCAGTTTTAACAGTATATCTCGTTCTACATTTAGATAGACACTATTTAAAAAAAAGGAATCTTCATCTACTTATTACATGATTTTTCTGCTCTTTGCTATGCTATTTCTCAAATTACAATTAAATATTATATGAATAGAATGCATTTTCAACTTAGATTGTCAGATAGGAATATTTTTGAAATTTGAACTAGCGCATTTTCAGATGTTTCCATTCATAAATTTGACACTGAACTAACCTCAAGGGATTGACCACAGAGATTAACAGATGCGAACACTTCGAAGCATCAGTAAATATAATCAAATCCAAGCGAATAACCAAAATTTCTATGTAATGTACCGCGGTTATAATATGGTCGAAAATGACACACGGGTTGATGACGTCAGTTACTCGAATCCCTTGAACGCGTTGGTTTTAACCGCGGTTTTGCTGCAAGTTGTTTATTTTAGAAAAGCGCGTATATAATTTCTGATTATTTTTATTATCACTTAATAATCGGTGCTTTTTCGTCTACAAGACTGTATGGAAAGTTTAAAAAAGAAACCTTTCATAATATTAATCGGAGAAATGTTTTTTTTTTCAGATAATAATTTTTAATGATGGAACCATGGCTTTGTAGCTATGATAACTTTCAATTCTCTAGACTTTTCCGCATGTCAAAGAAAACATTTTTGATTTAGCAGAAATGATAGGAAAAAGCGATGAAAAAAGATATTAGCAAAACCGTATACAGGTGTACATTATCCAGTGAGTTTATATGGCCATATTTTAATATTCTTGTGGTATATGGCTACACAGGATACTTTGTTAAGTATAGGAACTAGTTTTAAGGTGTCCCCAACAACAGTAATGAGTATAACTAATAAGGTGCTCTACTTTATGCTTCAACTGAAGTCAGCCACTGTATCAAGTTTCCCAAAAATGAAGCTGAAGTACAACAAAAATATCCAATACCCGCCAAAATTCTAACTTGTCGCATTTCAAATAATAACCAGAAATATAAAACTACTCCCGATTTGGGTAAATAACACAATTTTGCGGTGATAACTATGACATATAACAGCTGATTCATGACGTCACAGATCTTATAACCAAACTGATAACCACACTCGCTTGAACGGATCGGTAAATACCAATCAAAATGGTAAATACCATTTTCATTTGGTTATTCGCTTGAATTTGATTTATGTTCCCGCAAAGGTCCTCTCGAGGGTGCACCAGCGAAATTACCCTACGCTCATGGCACAATCCTAGCATGATCCGATTACCGTGAACAACGATCTTTATAATAATTTTCTCCGATTTTCCTTTGCAGACATGTGCTTTGCCACGATGTCAATTATTGGTTTGTATGGGACAAGTCGCCACCTTAACACCAAATTCGATTTGTACTCAAGGCCAATTCAGCTCCGTCTAGCAATGTATTATTTTGTTGCGATGTTCATGTACGGGGTCTATATTATGTCGAAAGACACGACACAGATATTCGCCGAGGAAAGAATTGATAAAAAGTTGAAGCAGATAGACCCCAGGTTTGCAGGTAACTCAAAACCCTTAGCAAGCATGTAAACAACACCTTAGTCTCCTTTCATCGAATTTTGCATTTATATGGATTTTATACAGCATAGTGTAACAATAAGCAACTTGCTATAAACACATATACCAAAGCTTTAATGTAACCGAGGTGTTAAGTTTCAAATAAAAATCTGTCATTCCTGGTTACCCAGACACGAGACAGTGTCAAAGAAAAAGAGAGATGGAAAGAGAGGGACAAGCGGAAGAGCAGAGGAACTCATAAGTGCATCAGTTTAACAGGAAACATCTAGGCTTTTTGAGTTGGTGCCCGGATTAATTTTGAAGTGAAATGAAAACAAATTTTGATGCAGACTTTGTTAGTGTATGTTTGGGCCTACTGGAAGTTCGCACTAAATTTTTGATTACAGTGCGAGCCGTGGCCTTGAATTACGAACTTACTCCTCTCTCTAATCCAGAGAGTTGCTGTGCAAGTCCGCTTAACTATAATTTCGCTGCGCCTGAAGCTTGATATAATCCCTCAAGTAATGAAGGGCCTCTGTGTAGCGTCTCATTCGAGTCATACTATGGAGCGTTGCAAATTGTTCGTACAGTCCGGATTTGCAGTACTTGGAGATTTTGAATTTGTGTATTGGCAAACATATAGTTGTATTAGAAATATAGTTGCAGAAACTCAATTTGGAATCTTGTTTTCAACGCTGCTGTTTGATACTTGGCAGAATTTTCCCATGATATACGGTTTCCATCTACCGAAACAGCGACTGGGGGCCGGGATGTTTTTTGGTAAAATTCATTCATTTTAATCAGCCACCGTTTCGCCCACTCTTGTACTTCGTCCATCACACTCTGCAACCCGGCGTGAACCAGATCGCTAGTTCACCGGCCCGTACTGGACGTGTTGTCGACAAAACATTGTTAATTTTGATCTAGTAGCTTTAGAAGCCAAAAAGAAAGTGGATTTTTTATTAGTTTATGGAGGAAGCCCGCGTGCTACAACTTCCGAAGGCTTTCGAGACATCCAAAAGCAAGACGCCAGTACTCATGTTGAGGGTGAATCCTCTGGTTACATGTTCCATCAGGCTGACTGCCTGAGCTCGGTACTATGCAACGAACGAAATGCGAATTGAACCTCATGGTGATCTGACTAAAAATTCCCAATGTGACGATAAATCACCTTTTCGGTGAGCCTAGAAGGAGCTGACAGCAGACTAGTGGGATGGTAATCTTGAGGTATATCGAACTCAACTTCTTTGGAATCATAATGATCTCAGCAGTCTTCTATCCCGCAGGGAAGGACTGGGTTATATAAAATATAATATCTCAGAGCTTTCGACGAGAGCAGCTTCAACGCCTTGTTGATGGTTTGATCCTACCTAGGTGCTTTATGGATTTGGAATTCCGCTAATGGGATATGTGAATCTTCCAAAGAAGAGTATTCTGAAGAGGAGTCAGTGCTTCCGCTAACGCCGTTGGCCGTAAAATATCTCTTGACGGACCTTTCGATGTGTTGTTGCTCCCTTATGTAGTTTAACCTCATATCTCTAGTCTTCGTGCTATAAACTAATAAGCTATAGACAATATAAACATAATTGGAATAATATGGTATGGTTTGCCAGTTTTGAAATTTTGCAAACCTTATTCAATTACCCAGCGAATGCCTCCTCAAAATCTTGATTAAATATCTATTTGTTTCTGATATCCTTGACTTACCTCAGCTCGGGTTACCAGCTATTTGCCACTGTCTTGCAAAACTCGAAGGGCTAGAATAGGCGAATTATTATTAAATTTAATGGTGCTTTGAAGGAGATTCATACGTTTGCAATTCAGATTTTTTCCTTAAACGTACCAAAACCACTCAGCCTTAATCGTTGAATGAACCGTGTTTCAGAGGGCGGTGCTGAGTACTACCGTAAAGTACTGCAAAGGAACATTGCTTTACGGACATTGATGGGCTCAGAGGGCGAAAGGCGCTTCAGTATCACTGGGAATGAAAACACTTTCTTGCGGACCAGGAATTTACCGTTGGTGCATCGAAAGTCAATATTTGATGAAACCCAATAGAAAAATGATTATTTCAAGTTACTGCAGTAGTACTCATGAGAAGACGTTGGTGTAGTAAGATTGTGTCAGAGAAAATGTCAGAAATATGTAACGTAACATGTCATGGATGAAATAGCACAAGATTTGAATGTCGTTGTGTCACAGAAGTAATATACTTATTGGTAAAATGACATGAGTATCCATCAAATTTTATACAAACTGTTAATGTTATTTAATAAAGGTATGTTTCGATGATATATAACTTTTCTGTTAATGTCCCTACATTTGCAGTGGCTTATTGAAAGTGGCACTAGTTAGATCCCATATACATATATCGCATAATGTTCATCATATGTTAATGAATGCACATTCGGCAGCCCATATACATTGAGAACCATATTTGTCTGACAACTTGTGTTCAATGTGTACGAGGGAAAAGTGTGTATAGACACATATATTAGAAAGAGATAGAAGCCGCCTGGATAGCGAAGCACATCTCGCAAAGCCTAGCAACGGTGATGCGGCAACGTGCCGCATTGCCAATATGTTATACCAGTTCCTTGAATTAAGATGCATATTAAATATGCGTTAGTTTATTCTTTTCGCCCAAACAATGGTTTTATTTTTAACGTACACATTTTTGAATTGTGGATTGTGTCGAATCGGTTTAGGATTGATTCCTGATCGGTCCTAACGGCGCTCTATTTTAGGTAGAAATGAAATGTCAGGATCGCCACAAATTCTGCAACATTGCATCATTGGTTCTTTGATAACAACGCATCTAGTACATTCCAAGGCGAAGTTTCCACCTCCGTGATCATCTAGCGTTCATTGGCGAGTGTCGTCTTGCTTGGAAATGGCTTTCATCTGCGCACACGCAGGCCGTGATAATTTGTATTGCGTAACGTTATTTGTTACATTTTCCGAACGCAGCGCTGTCACACCAAATCAAATGCTCGAACAGACCTCCTTCCCTGGTTTGACAGTAACCTAACCTGTTGTGCGAACATTTTTCTTCTGTATCATATTGGCAACGCACGACCTGCTGCGTCATCGTTGCTAGAGATTACCTCCGCACTTCAGCCGCCTTCTATCTGATTCGAGCATGTGTTGACACACACTTCTCGCGCTTCTCTCTCGTACATATTGAACTTAAGCCGTCAGATAAAATTGGTTTTACCTGTATACAACTTTGACGTGACAGGTACGTCTACAAATTAGTTCAAAATTCTTCGTGACACATCTGCTATCTGGGTTTTCACTACTCTAGCAGAACTAAAATGCCCAGAATGTTTTTTAACCTCTGAAAACAGGTCTAAAAGATTCTATGCAAATAATTTTTTTGGGAATCAATTGAACATTTTTCGGGACATTTTGAACGTTCAACTTTTTCGGAAATAAGTTTCCGTATAAAGTAGATGCTTTTCTTTCCTGCTGTTTGTAAACGCGGTGATTAACAACACCTAAAACGTTTTTAAGCAAAACAATGAGATAGAGATTTATTAGCTATTGTTCAAAATCAAACATTTATTATCTGTTTTAAACTATGTAGAGATATATACGAACAAAGTACATGTATATAACATACCACAGTAATGTCTATCTTATGATCTTTTTTTAATAGATGCACGCTGACACATTAATAAGTGAGATATGTCCCTTAACCTACGACTAAATTTAACACTCTTACGTTAGTCTTATCATCAAACAATTTAACGTGGTTTAGATCGTCCTTCCACGCGCTTAGGTTTGGCCTTTCTATTTCTGAACAGTTGACATACTTATTTCCTTTTCCCAGCTTCTCCATCACCTGCGGAATGTATTCATTTAAATTATATTTTTCCCTTAAAGCAGCATTTCCCAAACTTATCTACATCTAAAAACATTGTTGACGACTCACTAAAGCAGTGACAAAAACAGCGTGCCTAATTAGTTCATTAGTAACTGATGGTCTTTCAAATTTTATTTTACTTTACTGTTTGAGCTTTAAATAGATTCAAAAAGTTGAACAATTATTTTATTAATTGCAATTTGTCCAACTTGACCTATTAATATTTAGTTTTATGTTTCGTTTGATAAATAATTAGTTGTTAATTTTTATTTATGGCGTTATTAAAATGGACAAATTTAACAAAATTATGTTTTTGTCATATTTTTGAAATTTCCGGTGACCCCACTAGCATCTCGATTCGCCCAGTGGGGGTCATGACTTCCCTGGATTCGCCCGTGATTGAGAATTTTCTGTCATTTTCTATCTGGGACTGTGAAATACAGGCTCCCAAACAAATTAGCGATATAATGTTAACAAGCTATGTATTGAACTAATCTGGTCCACTGTAAATCACCGTTCGAGACTGTCAGAAACTCATTGGTAGAAGTAACCTACTGCATTGTTCATAGTACGTACTTACCTTAGGCTGTATAACATCCAGATTGTCAGCATTGTCGCAAATAATGTTGGCTAAAGAGGTTTTCCTGATCTGTCTCAACTGTTCAGTGGAAAATGCAACTGGGTGCTGGTCAGTTTCGTACCAAAATCGGTCCCCGTATTTCAAGCGAACGAATTGATCAGATATCAGACAGGTCAGAGTAGGTCCCAGAATGCTGCCTTCTAGAGGAACCTCGCTCAGAGCTCCGGTGTATAGGTCGATGTCTTCTACTTGTCTGCAAAATATCAGGAGGTGAAGTCAATTCAGTCCTCATTTGCTCCATGTCAAAACAAACACGATCTCTCACGATCGCTGCTTTTCTTTGCTTGTCGCTGCCTGCTCAGGCATTTATGGGCCGTTAGCCAATACAGCGCGCGAATTTGAACGTCGCATACTGGTGTAAATATATTTTAATGCTCTATAATATTATTTTTGGAAATAGTTCGGATGTTGAATTTCGTTTGTGGTGTGATTTGGTTCAAAATCGCCAAAAAAAACTTTCTCTATATTCAAGCAGCTCCCAGTAATACTACGACTGGTATAAACAAAATTGACGTAGGATTATGTTCAACACAAGATAGAGCCTCTGAGAATAAAGGGCAAAAGTACGGAGAAATCTACATTGTGTGAAATGTCTAATAGGTGCGCAGAATTACCTCTACAAAACATTTTCTGAAAATGATCAAGAGCCCCTGAAACGTCAAAAAAAAAACAACAAAGTTTTAGCGATTTATATTTTTTTTTAGGTTTTTGCTCTGGACCACTGTATCGATTTTCAAAAACTTCATCCGAATTCTTTCCAAGTTATCGGGCCAAGGATTAGCGAACAGACTGACAGACAGACACACCAGCGGAAATGAGTTACACATGTAACATTAAAAAAACATGATAACTCCATCCAATTTTTCACGATTACATTTCTTCCTCGCTAGTAGGCATGGGAAGTAAAAATTAAAAGTGGAATTGGGGTAAACCTTTTGGTAGATATTTTCGTATTTACATACTGTAGTAATGAAGCACCGGTCATAGCAGCCGGCCTTTGTTTTTATTTTATGGAGCGCGACCAATTAGAATGAGAAACAGGGAAAATCGAGATCCTTATTTTTTGTTGCTTTATCGATCTTTATAACAAAAATCAGAGCAAAACCCCACCTATCGACTGATGTAGTAAAGGTAGATATTGCTAAATGTTTTAGGCTTATACAATTTTCCAACTAAGTTCGATATAGTAGCTGAAATGGAAAATGCAATCATCTCTTCTTTTACGTATACCACGGGTTTGAGTTGAATTTTGCGAAATAACTCCGCCTTTGTTATTCTAGGCTTAAAATTCTCGAATTCTAGCACGTAGTCCACTTTCAATTAATACGAACCTGTAAATAGCTTTGATGTTTACCAAAACGTCTTCATTCATAAATTGCCTTAGATCCTCAAAATCTGCGAGTCTCTTGAAACCGCAGTATTCTCTCCAAAACACATAACCCGGAAGTCCATGGTCCCTACCTCTTTGAATGTTCAGCGATACCAAATCAAGTCCGCAGAGCTTTGGCTGTTTCATGCGTTCTACTGAATCTTCGAACATGTGTGATTTTAACTGAAACAAAAAAATGGCGAGTAAGTAAGTCGACTCGGTACGCTGTCATAAGTTAAACAAGGATCATGTTTGGCACAATTTAGCTATTCTGAAAAAGAAAACAAAAAATTTAATGACCTTCCTCCTCCCTCTAAGAGGAATTGCTACAGGCGCTCATTATGTTCGATGATGACCAGAGGGATGTCCGACTGATCGATGACTCTTCTTTAACAGACAGCGCTTTGCTCCTCAGATCTCTCTTCCACGATGCCGCCACGCGATGTACCTGCCAGACAGACCCGCCTGGCTTTGACCTCCCATCCTCGTGTTCGTTTTCGCAATCAAAAACATTGTTTTGTGTGGAATGGACTGGGATATGTCTCGGAGTGCCTCAGAATGTTTTATTTTTTTTTGTTACCAGCAATGGAGTTTTTTATGTTTGAATCTTTAATATTATTACACTACTAGTAGTATAATACTTATACATGCCACGTACTTATTCTGTTCTCATATAATTTTAATATTGCCTTTTTGAGGATTTCTGAGAATTGTCCATGTTTTTTTTCAAGCTGGCCTTGACCAGATAGAACACAATGGATTTAAGGAGCAATAATAGAATAAATTCTAGAAGTTCCACTGAGGTTAAAAAATGACCAGCTCCAAATATCGTTTGCGTACCCCCTAGACGAAATCCTGAATCCGCCCTTGATTGGTTGCAAGAGAACTTAGTGAAACTCTGGGTGTAGAGCCAAAGTTCAAAGAAGTCCAAGTCAGCCAGATAAAGAAAAAAGAATGTTTGAGTTCGAGGGAGAAGATGAGCCTATGTCAGAATCTGCCGAGCAAAGGTTTAAACAATATTTAAGATTTTCACTTAAGAGTACCAGACAAATATTAGTATGTGCAGATAATATGAATATTTTGTAATAATGTGTGCTTATTTATGATTGATTATTCACTACAAAAAAAAAAAAGATTTCTTATACGAATTTATATATTCCTTGGCAGACCTAAAATTTATTATAATTCTAAAAATTCTCGGAGTAGACCACTTTCCTTAAAAAAACGCCTCACAAAAAGGTTTTGCTCTAGGCCTCGCATCAGCTAAGGACGGCTCTGGATAGCGGTGTTTCTAGATTTCTATTGTTTCATCTAAGCGCTCTATTTTGAGGGTATATTCTGAATTTTAAGATATTTCAGCTGATAAAATTTTCATCATCTGTTTTATCAGCCTGAAATCTCTTATAGATTCAAAAAG